CCCCCGGGAGGGCCCGTGTCCCCTCCGCGCCGATGGCAGGCCTGAGGCAGGCCCCCGTGTCCCCCCACTCCCGTGTCCCCTCAGCCCCGGTGACAGGCCTGGCCCCCGTGTCCCCTTGCCCCATGATAGGCCTGAGGGAGGACCCTGAGTCCCCTCAGTCCTGGTCACAGGCTTGGCCCCTGTGTCCCTTCATTCTGGTGACAAGCCTGAGGGACGACCCTGTGTCCCCTTACCCCTGTGTCCCCTTGCCCCTGTGACAGCCCCTTGTCGCCTCAGCCCCAGTGACAGGCCCGAGGCAGGCCCCCATGTCCCCTTACCACCGTGTTCCCTCAGCCCTAGTGACAGGCCTGAGGGAGGTCCCTTTGTCCCCTCATTCTGGTGACAGGCCTGGAGAGTGGCCGGCCCTCATCCCTTCCCACCCCAAACTCTGTGGGTAAGAGGTGTAGGACCCCCACCCATCTCCTTGTCCCTTCTTGTCCCCCGCCCCAGGGGGTTTCCTTGGGTCCCCATCCCAACCTGGTGCCAGGCTTAAGGGGCCCCCGTTTCTCCTCTCTTGTTACTGGTGACAGGCCTGGGAGTGCCTTACCTTGTCCCGTGCACTGGTGACAGGCTGGGGAATGCCTGTTTGTCCCCTGGGGACGGACTGGGGGTGCTCCCCCCAAGCCCAAATGGGCTGCAGCTGCCTGTCTCAGCGGAGGCAGCAGGGCTTTGTGGTTGGAGGGGGTTCGGGTGGCTGCTGGGGCTGTCTGTGACTGTGGCCGCTGGGTCTCAGTTTCATTTGCCCCATGTAGAGGTGCTTGTTGCAGATCCCCACATTTCCCCTCTCTGGGTGCTGGTCGGAAGGGCTGGCTGGGCAGAGCACCTTGGCTCGGAGCGAACGCGCGTTGTTCTGGGCTTTCCTCCTCTGCAGAACACCGGCAGCCGAGGAGAGCAAGCCCGGCAGCTGGTCATCGACCTGGAGACTCGAGGGAAACAGGCTTTTCCTATATTCCTCTCGATCCTGCGGGACACCAAGCAGGGCGACCTTGCGGACATGCTGATTGAGGAGTGTGAGTGCCGCCCGGTGCCACCACAGGTGGTAGACCTGAGGCCTGTCGAGCTGGACTTACACAGAGAAAAGCATAATAAAAGTAAGTATTAAGGGCATGGTTGTTTTCTGGGCAAACAGCAGCACGGGGCGGGGAGGGGGGTGGTGGCAGCTGGGATCCCTCTTGGTGTGGATCCTAGTCGGTGAAGTCCTGGTTTTTATTGTCCTGGAGCATGGCTTGTAGAGGTGACTACGCAGAGCTGTCGGGAGAATGTCATGCTTTCCAGCAGCAGAAGCTTTTAAGCTCCAGCTGCGTGCTCATGGCATTAGGAGCTTTGTTCTCAGTATTTTTGCACCCAACCTCCGTGGTACTGTGGTGAAAAGTGATTTTGCCATCTTGTGCTCCACCGAATCTGCTTGCAGATGCAACTCATGTGATGGAAAGGAGAAACTTTGGTCTGTCGAACCCTGAAAAGGGGAAAATCAACACGATGTCGTATTGCAGCCTCATGGCAGGGTCGCTGCAACGGGCAGCTGTTGGTTTGGGTCCTTCCAGGGACCCAGGGTTAGTTACTTGTAGCATGAAATCGGAGAAGGGAGAACGGGAGACCTGACTGTCCCGTGTCATTGCAGATGTGAACTTCCCTGAACGTTTGTCTGTCCCAGTCCAAGCTGAGAGCGAAAGACCTCGAATGCCGCCCGTGCCAGCCCGGGGTAAGCTGTGTCCCAGGCTGCTCCAGAGAGATGGGGTGCCCGACACTTGTTTGCAGCATGGGGTGGGATGGGAAGAGGGAATTCGACAGGGCGGGATTGATGTTAATTCCCGGAGGAATGGGTGTAACGTCTCATTGTGGAGTGCAGGGCACTAAATACCCTGTCTCTGTCGTGTGTTGTAGGTTTGCCTGGTGACAAGAGGAACCGCGATCTGGTTAGTATTTGGTTTGGCCACACGTGTGCCCTGCAAAGCAAAGGCTCGTGGGTGGCTACCGGGAAATAGCCCTGCAACAGCCAGGTTTTGCTTCTTGTTATCAGAGCGATCGCTTTGAGGCTGATGCCGATCTAATGAGGCCGATAAGCTTGGAGGAGGTTAATCATTGGCCAGCTCTGCCTTAGGATTACTGTAGCTGTAGAATAAATAACACAGCATAGAGCTAAAGGTTGCGCTTAAACAGTTTCCAGCAAGGTGACTGGTAATTTCTTCAGGCACCAACTTGTGTGTTGTCCACGAAGCGGCGTTTAGGCTTTGTAATCATAGCGTTGAGAAACAGAAGCCAGGAAGACAAAAACGAATGCATGCGGTGCCTTCTCTGGACACGCTCCAGCCCCTCCATGTCCTTCTGGGAGTAAGGGGCCCAATGCTGAACCCAGCATTCGAGGGGCGGCCTCACCAGTGCCCAGGACAGGGGCATGGTCACTGCCCTGCTCCTGCTGGCCACACTGTTTCTGATACAAGCCAG